CAGCGAGAAAATGTTGATTTCACTTACCAACCTTCCGTTCGTACCTGAACGAGCATCCACTAACAGCGAGAAAATGTTGATTTCACTTACCAACCTTCCGTTCGTACCTGAACGAGCATCCACTAAACAGCGAGAAAATGTTGATTTCACTTACCAACCTTCCATTCGTACCTGAACGAGCATCCACTAAACAGCGAGAAAATGTTGATTTCACTTACCAACCTTCCGTTCGTACCTGAACGAGCATCCACTAAACAGCGAGAAAATGTTGATTTCACTTACCAACCTTCCGTTCGTACCTGAACGAGCATCCACTAAACAGCGAGCAAATGTTGATTTCGCTTACCAACCTTCCGTTTGTACCTGAACGAGCATCCCTACGGGGGCACGAGAAACTTAACCAAGCAACTCTGAGAGGACAATTCTGACGAAGGCCATCCAATACCTATTCTGGCAATAGGTATCCTGAAAACACTCTGCTGGGGAAATTGGGAACTTAACCAAGCCACTTTGACGAGAATAACCTTGTTGGAAAATAAGAGGAATTTAACCAAACAACTCCGTGGCGAATACCCTGCTGGGGACTATGAGGGACTTAACCAAGTAACTCATTGAAGTAACACCCTGCTGGAGGACATAACTCTGCTGGGGAAACTACGGGTGACCACCCAAAAATCTGCATTACCGTTTTCCAATGCTGACACCACAACATCCTGAGAAAGACTCAGTTGGGGGAAAAAGTGCTTGACCAAGCAAACTCTGCTAGGGGAATATGACATGACGAACACGATCACTGCGTGTCCGACACAACAACCCTCTTGACAGGAGGAAACACGATCACTACGCGTCTCGGCGCCGCAAACAAAACCACATATGAGACGAATACGATCACTGTGTATCTCTTCCGCAAAAATCCCCACAACATAACGATGACCACGATCACTGCGTGCCTTGCGCCACAACCCTCTTGACAGGAGGAAACATGATCACTACGCGTCTTGTGCCACAAACAAAACATACGGGATGAATACGATCACTGCGTACCTCTTCCGCGAAAACCCCCACAACATAACGACGACCACGATCACTGCGTGCCCTGCGCCACAACCCTCTTGACAGGAGGAAACACGATCACTGCGCGTCTTATGCCACAACCCTCTTGACAGGAGGAAACACGATCACTGCGCGTCTTGTGCCACAAACAAAACATATGCACATCTCTGCGAACCACGATCTCACTTATCGACAGAGAAAAATACCTGAGGCTGGACGGGTACTCAATCCTGCTTACGTTTCCAAAATGCACATGTTTGATGATGCCGTAATGCTTCCATACTGCATGGAAATGCTACGTATTCGTGCAAAATGAAAGTGCTTATGATGCATGCTTATGCAAAGGGTTACTTCAGCAAAATAAATGCTGAAGACAAACTGGATCCGCTGGGGATGACCGAAATACTACCGGAACACTTCCAACCAATATAAATGCTGGAAAGAAGAACTAACTCCGCTAGGGATGACCGTCCTGCTGGGAAAGTAGCTCACAAACTCAAAACTTCAAACTCTGCTGAATATGATCATCCTGACGAGGAAGGATCAACCTGTTGGGGAAAGAGAAAAGCAATCCTAGAAACTGCTTTCAAAAGGTATCAACACTCTGATTACGCCCTGTGGGGATAATTCATCCTTCTATCACTGAGCTGGGGGTTGACCGGTATGCTCTAATTCGCACTACACAAGAAACTCTTTGGGGAAGTTAATCATATCCGTCTCGACCTTCGTTGGGGAGGACTCTGCTCTGCTTGATAAGCCAATTCTGAGCTACTGAAGATGCATTGATCTTTTCCTTTGACGCAATCTCCACTCTCCCGGGGAGACAACACGCAATTTTGCCTGGGCGACTTCACTGAGGAAAGACACAACATTCATCCCCTGGAGAGGGTACTAGCCTGCCATGGACTCTGGCGGGGATAAACAGACTGGCTTGGATAACTTGCCCCAGTGCACTCAACTTGCCCCTATCTAACTCCTGGGAATACTTGCTCTGAACAACTTGCTATGAGACGACCTCGAGATTACTTGCCCCGGTATCTATATGACAAAAAGATTCAATCTCCATTAAACCCTGATCAACCCAGTTGGTTTCAACATCCTCTGCGGTGACTTGCCCCTGAATGAGCGTTCTAGCGAGTCAACCCGATCTGATTATCCACCTGAAGTATCTGCTTTTAAATCTCCACGTTCTGTATAATTGCCCCTGATCGGATCTCGAGAAGACTCACTTCTGATTAACTTCCTCTCAAGCATACTGCCCCTTGATCAACTGAAGCTTCGGGACTTGTCCTCAGACTGACTGATTCCGAACTCACTGGAAGTCAATGCCCCAGATTTACATGGCCTCACAACACATACCATCCTGGTTCAGACTGCTGAATTA